CAGCGATTCCTACTCTTTCCTGTAATCAACTTTAGAGATTTGGGGTCTGATATTATAGATCCTTGATCCATTTTGAGTTAATCTTGGTATAGGGTGATAACATGATCTAGTTTCAGTTTTTATGCAGACGTAACCAGTTTTCCCAGCAGTTTTGTTGAAGAGGCTGCTATTTCTCCATTCGATATTTTTTAGCTCCTTTGTCAAAGACAAGCTGGGTTTATGTTGCGTGCTTCAATATCTGGTCCTCTATTCCTGTTCCACTGGCCTTCATGTCTGTTTTTGTCCAGAATACCATGCTGTTTTTATTGTTATTGCTCTTGTAAAATATAGTTTGAAGTCAGGTATTGTGATACCTCCTGCATTGTTCTTTTTGACTGAGTATTGCCTTGGCTATCATGGCCTCTTGTGTTTCCATAATAAATTTACACAGTAGATTTTTCAATCTCTTTAATGAATTGTCATTGGAAATTTTGATGGAATTGCATTAAACATGTAGATTACTTTGGGACGAGTATCAACATTTTTACTATGTTGATTCTACCAATCCATGAGCATGGGAGATCTCTCCACTTTCTCTCATATCTTCCTCAATCCTTCTTATCAGAAGTGTATAAGTTTTCCTTGTAGAGGTCTTTCACACTTTTGTCTAGGTTTACACCTAGGTATTTGATTTTTTTTTGAGGCTATGTAAATGCCTAGTTCTTCTTAGGAGCTTTTATCATCGAAATTGATGTTGGATCTTATCAAAGGCTTTTCTGCATCTATTGAGATGATATCAAGGGGTTGTTTTGTCTTTGCTTCTGTAATGTGGTTTATTGCATTTATTGATTTTCGTATGTTGAACCACCCCTGCACCCTGGGATGGAAGCCTACTTGGTCCTGGTGATAAATCTTTTTGATGTGTTTGTTGAATTCGGTTTGCCATATTTTTTGAGGATATTTTGTTGTCAATGTTCATTAAGGAGATTGGCCTAATAGTTCTCCTTTTTGGATGTCTTTGCCTGGTTTGGGATAAGTGTAATACTTGGCTTTCATAAAATGTTTGGCAGTTTTCCTTCCCTTCTATTTCTTGGACAGTTTAAGGAGGGTTGGTATCAGTTCTTCTTTAAAGGTCTGATAGAATTCAGCAGAGAATACCATCAGTCCTGGACTTTTCTTTTTGGGAAGACTCTTGATTGCTGCTTCAATTTCATTTTTGTTATAGATCTATTCAGGTGATTAATTGCTCTTGGTCAGTTTTTGTATCATATGTATCTAGAAATCTGTCCATTCATTAAAATTTCAAATTTATTTGAATAAAGTTTCTCAAAAGTAGTCTCTGATGATTTCCTGGACTCCAGCGTGCTTGTGTTATCTCCCCTTTGCATTTTTCAAAGAACCAACTTTTTGTTCAATTAATTTCTTTGTATGGGTTTTTTTGGTTTTCTATTTCGTTGATTTCAGCTCTTATTTTTTATTACTTTCTCTCCTATTTGTTTTTGGGATTTGCTTGTTCTTGTTTTTCTAGGAGTTTGGAGATGGTTCATTAGGTCATTGATTTGGGATCTTTCAGTCCTTTTTAATATATGCACTCATGGCTATAAACTTTCCTCTCAGGACTGCCTTAGCTGTGTCCCATAGGTTCCGTCCGTAGGTTGTGTTTTCATTTTCATTGACTTCCAGGAACTTTTTAATTTCCTCTTTTATTTCATCGATTTGGAAATTAGCAAGCAGAAGGTGCTCAGAAAGCAGTATGTCAGAGCAAAGGGGCGTGGTCTCACCTCCAGGATCGCTCTGTTCCTAAGGGAGGCTCTGTCTCTCTCAGGATGCTTTGCCACTCTTGAAGGGCTCTGTAAGACCTTCCCAGCCCTCTCTGTCCAAACTTGTTCACATAATTTGTCAGAAGACAGAACACAGTAAGCTTGGATGTAAGCCCTGACTTGACTATGTACTTTTTGTGTGGCCACAGACTATTCACTTCACCTGTCTGAGCCTCAGTAGACCCACCTGTGACAAGAGGAAAATACCATCACCTCAAATGCTCATTGTTTATTCAATGATTAACTCTCAGCTGGAGTTCCTATGATTGTGCAGCACCACGCTAGGAAATGAAGGTTAAAATGAATGAACAAAATGCGTCCCTGTTCTCAAGTGGTCCCCATCTAATCTGGGTGACAGTTAAGCTATCAGCCATCACCTGCAGTATCCAAACAGGAGCCACACGGACTTGAAAATGATTTGTCCAAGTGGAGAAGTGCTGTAAGTGTGAAATTCATACCAGATGACAAAGACTTAGTGTGATTAAAAAAGAATATAAATATCTCATCAATAAGTTTTTCTATTAATTACAAGTTATAATGAAAATATTAGGCTAAATAAAACATTATTAAATTCACCTGTTTCAGCTGGGGCTCTCGCTCAGTGGCAGAACTCCTGCCGAGCATGTGGAAGGTCCTGGATTCAATAATCCCCAGCATCATACCCCCCACCACCAAAAAAATAGATCTTACATTGTATTTCTATCAGACAGTGCTAGTCAATGAAATTCAGTGAGGACAACAAGGGCTAGGATAAGGTCAGAGACAAGTGAAGGTGGCTGGAACAGTATAAAGGGCCCAGGTGAGGATAGGGAATGTCAGCGAAGGTTTCCTGGCAGTGCCACCTGAATTGAGAGATGGAAAATAATAGATATTAATAAGGCAAAAGCCAGTGGGCAATCCCATCAGCAGGAACAGCAAGCACACAGGCCTGGCAGTAAGAAACAACATGGCAAGATCACCCCTAACGCAGAGCTTGGCACCAGGCAGAAGGCGGAGGGCTTAGGGAAAAGACAAGGCTGGGAAATTAGGAAGAGGCTGGAGAGGCTGGAGAGGCAGATGGGCCAGATAATGAAGGGCCGCAGAAGTTGTACTACAGAACTTCATCCTGAGGGTGGCAAGGAGTACCAAGGGTCTAAGTAGCTAAGAGATCAGTTAGCAGGATTGCATGAAGCACCTGGGTCCAGAAAAGGCAGGGAGAGAAGGCAAAAGCTATTTGCAGATCTGCTAAGTCAGACACTGAGCTAAACCCTTTTGGAGTCATTTTAATTCTTATGTCATCCCTGGGCTTTAAATCAACCCACTTTACAGATGATAACAACTGAGGCTCGCCAATTTTAAGTGGCTTGCCTGTGATCACAAGGTCATTTAATGGCAGAACTGGGATTGAACCCAGCTAGATCTCAGTCCCAAAGCCCAAGTGTCCCAAAGCGACCAACTGTCGCTGAGATAGAAGGAACTGTCTGTGGGAATGATAGTGGACTTTATCTATCGGCAATAAGAAGCATTAAAACATAAAGCAGCAAACTGTAAAGACAGATGTGATGTTAAAAGAAACTTTCAACCTTTAATATAAAGGGCTGTTAGAGGGTAAGGAGGAAGACAAGCCAATCCAGATGAGAAGCAATGGCAGTAAAACACAGAAAGGGACAGGAGAACTCCACATGATCCAACTAGATAGGGGGTGCAAAGGGCCTTGCTCTGTGTCTGATACCTAGTAGGTTCTCAACAGACAGAGTAACAAATTCCCAAGTTTGCCAGAGAGGACATTGATTGTGCAAGCTTGCTATCCAGGCACAAATATCAATTGTATCCATTTCACTCTTGAAAGCATTCTTGTTTGCACAATAAACAACATGGTAACCTTTCCATTAGGATCTGCTGGCTGAAAGCAGCACCTGTCCCTTACAGAACTGGACCAACACCACAGGTTCTAAGTCAGGGCTCTCCTCCTCTTCTTTCTGCACACAGTCCAACTAGAAACCCAGGACAACCAAAAGAACCCAGCCTGGAGCAGTCTAGGGCCCTGTCAAACCTACCAAAGGGAGACCCTGGCCTCACAAGCAATGAGGACTATAGCCATCACCTGGGGCAGGTCCATTGAGCAGCCCCGCTCAGCCACCATTCCCTGATATTACAGGTTGAACATCCCTAATCTGGAAATTCAAAAATCCAAACTGTTCCAAAATCCAAAACTTTTTCAATACCAACATAACAGTCACAAGTGGAAAATTCCACACCTGACCTCATATGATGGGTCAAAGTTAAAAGGAAGGCCCATTACAAATATTGTGTTAAATTACCTTCAGACTATGTATATAAGGTATATATGAAACATAAATGAATTTTATGTTTTAGACTCGGATCTTATCTCCAAGATGTATCATTTTATATATATAAATATACAAATATTCCAAAACTTCAAAATAATCCAAAATCCAAACATTTTTTGTTTCCAAGCATTTTGGATAGGGTATACTCAACCTGTAGTAATAATAACAATGACAATCATAAAATATACTATTATAAAATAGTATTTTTTTCAGCACTAAGTGCTGAAAAACTACTCTCACCTAGTGAATTGCTGGGCAGACACTGCTTTTTTAAATTCTCTTCCATTTCTATTGGGTTGACACTACATTTCCCATTTTACAGGTGGGAAAGCAGGTCAAGTCACTTTACCAAGTTCACCCAGGGGGTAAATTTACAGGGCTGGATTTCAATCCAATTCAACCACCTCTAAGAAAGACTATTAACCACTGCACTCCACTGCCCGTGTCCTGGGAGTCCATTCTGTGACCCCCATAAGCAAAGTCTCTACTTAACAACTATAATGAATGCAAACACCCAAACCAGAATGAGTAACCTGGAGCCCTCAAAGTCCCTATCCCCAGCAAGCCTCCACTCGTGGCATACTCCAAGCGGCCCCCATCCCTCGTCCCACTCTTTCAGAAAGCCCCTACCCTCTTCAAAAGTATGTGCCACAATACTAGGTTCGAGTATGCTGGAGATCACAACTCCGGACCCCAGTCAGTATCAGCAGGTGCCCCCTCCCTCGCAGAGACCCTCCCAGAAGGAATCCACCCCAAACATTGCCCCTGGCCAAGCACTCTTAAGAGCAAACTCCAAGGCCGCGTTAGGGAGAACCCCCATCAGTGGGCACCGTGGCCCAGTTACCGCGAACCCCCAAAACCCTGGCCCCACCTGCAGCCGCTGAGCGTCCCAGGGAGGGTGACGTCCTCTTCCAACACCGAGTCCATCATGGGCACGGAGGTGATGGTGGCATTGATGTCTGTGGCAGTGCGCCACTGGTTCCCCTAACTTTGCAACCGCCGGGTTCGGCAGGTCCCGCCCCCACCAATCCAGCTCTTGTTCGGACTCTGGCGGCGCCGCTGGAATTCAAACCGCAGCGGCCGCCATCTTTCCTGGCGCTTCTTCCTACGGAAGCGAGGCGGGGTCACCCAGGCGCGCGCAGTGAAGCCGACCTGCGGAGGCCAGAGCACGGGCAGGGAAGCGTGCGTGGGCGCCATCTTAACTAAGGGCAGAGCCTTTGCGCTTGGGCCTGCAAAAGTAAGGAAAGAAAGGCTAGCTGCCATGTTTTGTGAGGGCATTCAGGCCGATGCTAGGGTGAGCGCCATTTTTGTTAAGGGTAAAGACTGACCTTGGTCGGTTAATTTAAGCGGGAGATGGAGCTACAAATCCTCACCGCCACATCCTAACCCGGTGTTTGCTTCTTAAAATAATGACCTCCACCATTTGGGATCTATGCACTCAAAAGGCCTCCGCCTTGAGTTGAAGCTCAGATAATCGGGTTCTGCCTTCTTGTAGAAAAATCCTACCTGTGGAATCCCAATGCAAACAATAATTCACACGGTTTGACAGCTCGTCCCTGTGATCCAAGCTGCGATCCACACCCCCACTGCACCCTCTCACTTAGTGATCATTTGTTACCGTCAGTACTCAAATGCACCTGCTACTGGCAAACTGAGGCCCAGACAGCAGAAATGACTGAGCCAAAGTAATACACAGTAAGTTCACTGTCAACTGGAGCCATATTCGAGATCCCACAAACTAGATCTGAACTTTATGACAAAGGTTGTCTTTCCTAAAACACAGGACATCACCAAACACCTGGATCATTTTAGCCTTGCAATCAACTTCCCCTCAGGATCTCAGTGTTGCATCTTCCTCTACAGGTTCTTGAGATGAAAGTTACCTGAAAAGATGTATGGGCATCTACCTGTAGATGACTGCCCTGTAAACATGAACAAGTCCCCGTCAGCCTCAGTTTCCTCATTCTTCAACTAATTGGACAATTACTTTCCAAAAGAAATCTTCTCTAATGTGCTAATCTAAATCAAGTAGCTTTTGGTATTCTAAGCAACCCGTATTTTTCCTTGGTAGCATTTAACCCATTTTGCAACTATATATTTCTGTGTTTTTTAAGATCTTCCTTTTGAACTGGACTGGAAGCTCCATGAGGGCAGGGACTGTCTCCTGAACTATTCACTGCTCTATCCTCTATGCCTAGCACTGTGCCTGCTACCCAATGGATGTTTGAAAGTACATGTTAGGGCTGGCAGAGTGGCTCAGAGGTAGAGCGACTGCTTAGCAAGCGTGAGGCCCTGAGTTCAAACCCCAGAACCACCAAAAAATAAAAATAAAAAAGTAAATGTTAAACAAATGAAGGATTCAATCAATCTGGAAATGGGGCTAGTACCTGTCCTGCAAGGTCTTTGTGAGGATGGCCTAAGATAGCTTGAGGAACTCTGTCAACAGTAATTTCATACATCTCCATATTCATTCTCTCTTTGTTCCCAAGCTGGAAAGTGTCATAGTTGGGATTTAAATCTACTCCCACAGAATTCCAATGCCTTTACTGTTTTATACAGCTCATCTTCCTCACTTGTTTGGTTCTCTCCACCTTAGAATTCAGTATTAAGATATGAGGTCCACATCCACAAAATATAGTGTTTAAGTGATTTATTCACCAGTTTGTACTCTTTAGGTAACTGCTTCAAGGTGGCTAAGTAGTGAACCTTTGTGTGGGCAGTATGATTGCAGAATTGGAAGTCTGGATGCCTGGATTACCACTTCAACTTGTTCTGTTAACCAGTCTCTTCCCATGTATAAAATGGAGTGGACAATGTCAAGCTCATATAGTGACTTTATCTAATTAGATACTTCGGAAACTATAAAGAAGAAAGAACCTATAAGATGTTCTAATTGGGATTAATCAGCAAAACTATGTTTCTAAACTATGTGCTAAACCCTTAGTGAATCTGGAAACTGAAAATAGACTCAATTGCACAAAAGAAAGTCTATTTAGGAAGTTGTTTTCCTGCTATAGCACTGGTTTCATGGTTAGGGACAGAGAGGCCTTTGCCTTGTCTGTCTCACTCTGTTTTTTCTTCCTGCCAAGCCTGGATATGACATCACTGCCACCAGCTGTTTGGACTATCTGGACGCATATCCTTGACAACAGCCATCCATCCACAAAGCTGGCATTATTTTTTTTTCTTGAACAAGGTCACACTGAATGGCTGGAAGTTGCTTGCATCCAGATGTTTTTCATTTGGGTGGAACTCTTCTGAAGTTTTAGTAGCTCAAGACAGTTGAACTGCCATTCCTAACAGCAATAACTTTTTAAAGATCAATACATTCACCTTGCCACTCATAACATTCCATTTCTCCTTGTGACCATGTAAAGTACATTGTCCTGACTCCTCATCCTAGGATGGGAAATGCTGTAGTTTGAATCTGAAGTGACTTGAAAGACTCATGTGTCAAAGATTTGGTTCCCATCCCATGGTGCTGTTGAGAGATAGAGGAACCTTTAAGAGATAAGGAACCTTCAAGAGAAAGCTGGGCCACTGGCTGCTTGCTCTTGAATATTAGGACCCGAGTCCCATCTCTCTCTCTCTCTCTCTCTCTCTCTCTCTCTCTCTCTCTCTCTCTCTCTCTCTCTTCTGGTTGCCCTGAGGTCAGCAGCTCCTCCACCACTTGCTCCCATATCAGGCCCAGTAACCATGGACTGAAACCATGAGCCAAACATTTCCTCCTTATAAGTTGATTATCACTGGTATTTTCTCACAGTGACAGGCACTCCATCAGCCCTTTTTTGTGATGGGTTTTTTTGAGATAGGTCTGGTGAACTACTTGCCAAGGCTGGCTCTGAACTGCAATCTTCCTGATTTCTGCCTCCTGAATAGTTAGGATTACAGGCATAAGCCACTGGTGCCCAGCTCATTACAGCTCTTTTAAAGGGCTCCTGCTGAAACCTACATATAGTATCCAGGAGTTGAACCACCACTGTTAAGTAAAATATAACATTACTTCACATTTAGTAAGCATTCATCAACTGAGAGAAGGGAGAAGAGGCCGGGGACCCTGCCCATCCTGGGATTGTACATTTACTCAGACAAACAAACAGTCCTTCAGAAATCTAAGTGGGAAGTCAGACCCATGGGCAGAAGCTGACTAAACAAGGAAACTAGGATATGGAGGCAGGGAAAAGGTTTACCAAGGACCACATTTCTTTCTCTCCTTTTTTCTTAGCTTTTCATTTAGAAATAATTTCATACGCAGAATAACAGTTACAAAAATAGTACAAAGAGGCTGGACATGAGTCACACACCTGTAATCTTAGCTTGAAAGGTTGAGGCAGGAGGATCATGAGTTTGAGGCCAGCCTGGGCTACGTAGTGAGACCCTGACTTAAAACAAACAAGAAATAGTACAAATAATTCCTCATATAACCCTAATCCAGCTTCCTAAGAAATTGTTTTGGCTGCACTGGTGTTTGAACCCGGGGCTGTGGGCTTGCTAGGCAAGCACTGTACCACTTGAGCCATGCCTCCAGCCCTTTGGACTTAGGTTACTTTTCACAAAAGGTCTTGCTTTTTGCCTGGGATGACAACTGTGCACCACAATGCCTGGTTTGCTTTGTTAAGATGAGGGTCTCACTAACTTTTTGCCTGAGGTGGCCTCAAAACACAATCCTCCTGATCTCTGCCTCCTGAGTAGCTGGGATTAGCTTCCAAAAATATTAACATCTTACACAACCTTACCACAGTTGTCAAAAATAAGTTATACCAATACCATACTATTTCCTACAGATCACTTTTGAATTTAATCAGTTTTCTCATTGATTTCCTTTTACTGGTCTGGGATCAATCCAGGATTCCACATTGCCTTTAGTTGTCACATCTCCTTCCTCTCCTCCAACTGCTGACAGTTCTGTCTTTGTCTTTCATGGAATTGGCACTTGCTAAATGTTCAAGCCAAGTATTTGATTGAATGACCCTTAATTTATGCTCCTGTGATGTTTCTTCCTGATTAAATTCAGGCTATGCACATGATCAAACACTGTAAAAATGATGCTATGCCCTTCTCAGGGTGCAGATTGGAGGCACATGACATTGATACATCTCATTGATCGATGTCATAAACTCTGATCTCCTGGCCAAGGTGTTTTATGCCAAGTTTCTCTATAATAAAATTACATTTTTCTTTTGTAATTAATAAGAATCTTGTAGTGAGATATTTCATACTATGTATTCTGTTTTTCATACTTTCACTCACTAATTTTATCATCCTTGGATAATTCTTGCCAAAACAATCATTATTATAGTGGTGTTTGCCAATGGGTAATTTTCTATTTTTATCAGTCCTTCTATATTATGAACTATTTATATATAGTTCTACTATACTATATATAAATATTTATATATCTACTATATAAAAATATCTACTATATATAAATATGTTATAAAAATATAAATATATTAAATATCTACTATATATAAACACAAATCTACTATATATAAATATTTTATATAGTTCTAGTATAAGGAAGAGCTTTCTCTTCTTCCCCAATTAAGCATTTATTCAATTTATTTACATCAGTATGGACTTGTGGGTATTTGTTTTATTTTCTGTATTATAATTCATTACTATTATTATTTACCTTGTTGCTCAAATTGTCCTAGATTTGGCCAAGTTGCTCTTCTAACACATGGCTCTGTCAACATTCAAACCCAGGTCTGTCTGGTCCCAAGAACACCAGTATTTCCAGAACACCAATTTACTCTCTTCCTGTCAAGAACTGTTCCTAACCAACCCTCAATAGCAGCAGTCCATGTTAGGGGCTGCTACCAATTAGTACCCCAGTCTTCTTCAATGCTGGTCATCAAGCCAGTGGTGTTGCCCCCACATCTAGCCCAAGACTATGCATGTGGTAGATGTCCAATGCTAGTCAGTCACATTCACTCCAAGCCTGACTTTTTCTCAATGTGAGAAGAGGATGAGTGTAATTCATGGTAATCTATTATAAATTTGAAAAGAACTAAAAGAGAGGAGTTCAAAGACACCAAACTTAAAGAAATAAGGAGCTGGAAATGCTAATTTCCCTGATTTGATCGGTACACATGGCACACATGTGTTGAACTAT